TTATATGGGATAAACGTTCTTTCAGCCTCATGTATAGTGTTCAGAAAACTGTCATATTGATAGCTCTCTTCGTTACCCCAGTCAACAGATAATAAGTGTTCTCTAAGCCCATCGTAATCTGCTAAGCGAAAATCTGGGACTGTTACTGAGTTATCCCTACTATCATACTTCCATTCAATGCTAAATGTAACTGATTTGTGGTCGCTAGCACCCAGTTCCTCTGAAACTTCTAAATTATTAACAAGGGATTCATTGTTTGCCAGAACTAAGTCAAGCAGGTTATTACCCCTTGTAGGTTCTGTCACAAACTGCTTCAAAAAACAATCCCGAACTACTTCTAAGAAGTCGTGTGATTCTAAATTCCCAGTCAAGAAATTCCAATCAATATGACTAAAGTTAAAATCTCCTAGAATTACTACATTATCGTGCCTTGTGGCCCTAACAATTTCCTCCCATAGTAGTCTCCCCTGGTCCCTATCTACGTTTGGGGGACGGTATATCACACCTAAAATTAATTTTTCATGCCCCTCTGAAAATTCTATCCAAACAGACTCTGTATATGTTACTTCAGACTTAATACCCGTTTTTATGCAACAGTTCAATCGATCTCGGACATACAATGCCACCCCACCCCCCTTCCCGACACTTCTATCTACTTGGAACAATTTAAAACCCTGAATGTGACATTCCGCAGGCATGTCCCGACTTTTTGAATTAAACCACGTCTCAGTTAAGGCAAATACATCAATGTTACCTGCACTAGCAACTAATTTCAACTCGTCAATCTTATTCCTAGCACTACGGCTATTTGTGTAATATATATTTAAAGACCCTCCTCTCTCTTTACCCTTCCTGCTCCTTTCTGTTATTCCGCTAAACCTATTACTGTCCTTGTCAATTAGTGCCACTGGCTTTCCAATATCCACCTCATTTTGCCTATTACTAGTTCTCCTAGTACTCATATTACTACACTGCGACTTCACTGTTTTCCCGCCAAAACCCATACCACTAACTATTCCTAGTTCAAAGACCTAACAGCTCCCTCCACTGCGTTGGTAAGTGCTCCCACCCCACACCTAAAGTGAACCCCATCCCTGGCATACATGTCATTTCTGCCATGGAAGAGGTCCCAGTTGTCAATGAATGTTACCGCATTATCCTTACAGTATTTATCCAGCCAGCAATTGACACCAATTGCTCTGGACAACCATTCATTTCCATTAATGGTAACTCTCTGCTTTCTATTGGTAAGCCATGCCTCTATCCATGCTAGAACTTTACCTCCTATTCCATGAGCTGCCACTTTTCTTAAGAGTCTCTTGTGAGGTACTCTGTCGAAGGCTTTTCTAAAAACCAAATAAATAATATCATATTCCTTATCACTGTCAACTGCCTCAAATGTTCTATTGAAGAACGTCAGTAAGTTTGTCAGGCAGGAACGACCTCTCGTGAATCCATGCTGAGATTCATTTATCAAGTTATGCTCTTCAAGGTGACTTCTGATAATGTCAGTTATAATTGATTCTAATAACTTGCCCACTATAGATGTCAGGCTTATTGGACGTAGAATTACGGGAGATTTGACTGAAGTGTATAAAGGAAAACCTGAATAAATAAAGGGGATATAAAAAAAAGCATTGAAAATGTGCAACCAAGACAGGACTCGCAACAATGAATTTATTTTTGAGAAAATCAAATGTAGAAAGTATAATGGGACGCACTAAGAGTAAGCTCTCTGACAAGATCTTTCTTTTTCATTCTTATATTCTTGTCACAGTACTGAGTGATCTCCCAGATCACAGTACTGAGTGATCTCCCAAGTCACAGTACTGAGTGATCTCCCAGGTCACAGTACAGTGTGATCTCCCAGGTCACAGTACTGAGCGGTCTCCCAGATTACAGTACTGAGTGATCTCTCAGATCACAGTACTGAGTGATCTCCCAAGTCACAGTACTGAGTGCTCTCCCAGGTCACAGTACTGAGTGATCTCACAGGTCACAGTAGTAAGTGATCTCCCAGATCATAATACTGAGTGATCTCCCAGGTCACAGTACTGAACTTCCAGGTTACAATACTTAGTGATCTCCCAGGTCACAGTACTGAGTGATCTCTCACGTCACAGTACTGAATGATCTCCTAGGTCACAGTACTGAGTGATATCCCAGGTCATAATACTGAGTGATCTCTCACGTCACAGTACTTGTGGAGAAATTTTCTCCAGGAGGGGGGTATCAGCCCCTTTCAGCCCCTTTCAGCCCCTTTCAGCCCCTTTCAGCCCTGAGGGGCCCAGCCCTCTCAGAAGGGGCAAACATCTTGTTTACTGCTACAGCAAGTAATTGATCCCAGATGCAATACGAATATGTGACGTGGTCAAGTGACCGCCGCTCCTTGCAAGACTCCAGTGTTGCAAGATGTAGTTTAATAAGAGACAGTCCATCTCTTACCTTTGGAGGACAATTAAGGAAAATCCTGCTCCCATTTTATTACCATGGTAAAGATAGTGTACATTATTGTCTATGCTTAAGACAGCAAGAATCAAGCATTCTGCTTTGCTTCATGGAGGAAGTTTTGCAAGGAAGCAAAAAGTACTAGGTCAGCTTTTCTTTATGTTCTAGGGGCATTGCAACGGCGTAGGAGGCTGTGAGGTCAGATTACTTTTGACTGTACTGTGAGAGAGACATTGCCGTGCCGCAATAACCAACAAAGAACACTGTTCCGCGCGTTTTGCACAAAAGAATCTCGATAAACACTTACAGAGAAGTGTGATCAGCTTCTCTTGTGACATTATGGTGTGAACAATTATTTATGAACAGTGTAACAACGAGTGTTGCGATCCAGTAGAGTGTAGTGCGACATTCTTCAAAGAACACTATTCTTCAATCAAGACATCGGATAACCGGGCATAACTACGGGTCAGATACATATACCCAGGTAAGTGTACTAACTCGTGATGTACTACTATTGACTGTGCAGTTGAGTATAAGTTGCGAGTTAGTCACTTATCATAAACCCCAATGATAAGTGGACCTTTGAGTCCACACAAGTAAGTATTGTCAGCAATCAGTGTCTGATATATGCTGACATAACACCCCCTAGGGGTAATTTAGAATCATACATAATATACTCTCAGCCCGTTGAGAAGTGATTTTGACAGCTTCTCAAGACCTCGCCTGCAGAGGCTCTGTGGCTGTGCAGGCGATGAGCTGTCTTACCAAGCTAAGTTTTCCCTATATTTAATCTTTAACCTTAGCTGGTAAACCATTTCTCAACAGTACTGAGTGATCTCCCAGGTCACAGTACTGAGTGATCTCCCAGGTCACAGTACTGAGTGATCTCCCAGGTCACAGTACTGAGTGATCTCCCAGGTCACAGTACATACGGAAGTATTGATCTCCCGCACTATGGTCCACAGTACTGAGTAATCTCCCAGGTCACAGTACTGGGTGATCTCCCAGGTCACAATACTGAGTGATCTCCCAGGTTACAGTACTGAGTGATATTCCACATCACAGTACTGAATGATCTCCCAGGTCACAGTACTGAGTGATCTCCCAGGTCACAGTACTTAGTGGTCTCCCAGGTCACAGTACTGAGTGACCTCCCAGGTCACAGTACTGAGTGATCTCCCAGGTCACAGTACTGAATGATCTCCCAGGTTACAGTTCTTAGTAATCTCCCAGGTCACAATACTGAGTGATCTCCCAAGTCACAGTACTGAGTGATCTCTCACGTCACAGTACTGAATGATCTCCCAGGTCACAGTACTGAGTGATATTCCAGGTCATAATACTGAGTGATCTCTCACGTCACAGTACTGAGTGATCTCCCAGGTCATAGTACTGAGTGATCTCCCAGATCATAATACTGAGTGATCTCCCAGGTCACAGTACTGAGTGATCTCCCAGGTCACAGTACTGAGTGATTTCTCACGTCACAGTACTGAGTGATCTCTCAGGTCGCAGTACTAAGTGATCTCCCAGGTCACAATACTGAGTGATGTCCCAGGTCACAGTACTGAGGGGTCTCCCAGGTTACAGTGCTAAGTGATCTCCCAGGTCACAGTATTGAGTAATCCAGGTCAGGGTTCTGAGTGATCCAGATCACAGTACAAAGTGATATCCCAGATCACAGTACTGAGTGGTCTCCCAAGTCACAGTACTGAGTGGTCTCCCAGGTCACAGTACTGAATTATTTCCCTGATCACAACACTAAGTGGACTCTCAGGTCACAATAAGTGAACTCCGTGGTCACAATAAGTGGACTCCCAGATCACAACATTAGTGGATTGCCAGGTCGCAACATTAAGTGGACTCCCAGGTTACAACAATAAGCGACTCCCAGGTCACACACTAAGAGTACTCCCAGGTTACACACTAAGACTCCCAGGTCCAAGACTAAGTGGACTCCAGGTCACAATAAGTTGACTCCCAGGTCCACAATAGAGACTCCCAAGTTACAAGATAGTGACTCCCAGGTCACACACTAGTGGACTCTCAGGTCATAACACTAAGTGGACTCCCAGGTCACAAGTGGACTCCCAGGTCACAAGTGGGCTCCCAGGTCACAAGTGGGCTCCCAGGTTACAAGTGGACTCCCAGGTCACAAGTGGATCCAGTCACAATCATTAAGTGGACTCCCAGTACTCCAATAATTATGCTGTCTCCCTGAATTAACGACTGGAGTTATTAAACAGAATAAAATATAATTATTTCTCCTTTCAAGACTTAACAAAGATACTTTCATTCCTTAGTGTAGTGTATGCTGGTATAAGTGCTCTTGATCCAAGACTAGGGTTATCCTTCCCTTTCCTGGATAAACCTGACTGCTCCCATTCCCAGAGCGGAAGAACTCTATTGGTATAGCATTTCTCCCGTTGCAATAATTAATATTAATTATATAAAAATAATGAAATAATAACTTATTTGCTGATTTATAAATATTTTGTTATAAATAATAAATAATATATTCAGTTGTTCCTAAGGATTAATTAAACACGAAATTATAAGACAAAGCATTTTATTTTGAGGTGAATCTGCTATTTGTTATACCCTTCAAGGGAGGTTCCTTGACGCTGGTGAGGAGCTCTTGATCTATGGAATTGGATCTGTGCTCCGGTTCCCTGAATTGAGTCTGAATACCTTCCATTCAACCCCCCGCCCCACGTGCGCTGTATAATCCTACGGGTTTAGCGCTCTCCCATGATTATAATAATGCTATGTGTTATATCAGAACATTAATACAGCTGTTATTGCAGAAAATTTTAAGTGAATGATGATTTTTGTCCTAGTTACACAGCGTAGTATGGCCCTTGTGGGTTTAGCGCTTAGTTTTTATTGTAATAATAATAATATCCTAGTAACAAATATTTCTAGACATATCAACAAACGGTGAACAAATACTGTCCACCGCAGCCCAGTCTACATACTGAACACATCCTAGTCTGGTAATAAGACTCCGAACTCAGGAAGTTACAGTTCGTCCTGGGCGTCGCGCTCTCTGGAAGGTTGGTCCAGCTGCTGCACCAGGTGGTGGTGCAAACCCTCGTTCACCTTCGTGGACAATGACGCGTGGAATTTCCGCACCTAAGAGTAAAAATAAAATCAAAATTGGGAACGAGTTTTTCATTTAAATGAAGACCCTGAAGGGAAATAAAAGGAAAATCTTCTTCAAGTGGGTTTTAAACATATTTCGTTTGTATACTGACTGGGTATTTTAATACACCTGCACTTAAATCTACTTACAGGTCATAACTAATAATAAGGTTAGAGTGCTCTCAAACTCTAACTCAACTCAGAATATTAGAACGGCTTCAGACCTTTGTCGTGATGCAGAAAATTCTCGTCCCCAAGTATAAACTTAACCACATGCTTCATGACACTTCAGGTTTGGATCTACCCGGTTTCCTCCACCGTCAAAGAATAACTACTGGTGCAGATTCTTTAATTATTTTTAAAGATGCACAATTAGTAATTAAATTTCATTAACAAATAGTAAAACATTTGAGTTTAGAGAACAAGATAATCAGGACAGCAGTTTTACATGACAAATGTTAGCAAGATTAGTTGGCAGTAGGTAGCATCACCTGCATTCCTGTCCTCGTGCATACCATCCAGTTAACTATTAATGAGATTGCCCCCGAACTCCTGAGAGGTGCTGTAAGAGCTTACAACCCAAAGTTCATCGAAGCAGACACGCATTGGGGCAGCCTTGCAGACTCTTCAAGCAGACCAGCTACCCCTAGAGAGAACAAGTAGTCATACTGTGATAAACCAATCGTGAAGAAAAATCTCCAGCGTAATACTCAACAACGCCTCAGGAAAGGACAAAGCTCGTCTCCAAGCGGTGAAGGCACAACATTCGGGAGATACCTGAACTGTCCTTAATTCTTCCTTTCGCACTCGCCTAGACCCACAAACCATTCGGACTGGTGTAGCTCTTCGTCTAGCCGCCCCCATGCTCACCGAAGATAGGTGCATTTGCGGCAGGGCGTCAGCTGACCAGTTTGGGCTACATGGCTTGGTCTGTCATATGTTGGAAGGGAAGAATGTCAGACATGAGGTCAATGACATCATCAAGCGAAGTATTATCACAGCACATCGCACAGCAGAACAGGAACTTCAGGTAATGAGGTCTGATGGAAGCCAAAAGCATCCAGATGGAGCCACCATGTTACCCGTCCTAGAAGGATAGTAACCAGATTGCATGGAACTACGCCTGTGCATCTACAATGACTGACACCTACCTACAATACCCTGAAGCTGAAGGAGGATGGTGCCGCCAGATTTAGGGAGACCCAGAAGATCAACAAATACAGAGGGATGGCACCATGCTAAAACTTCATCCCAGTAATGTGGAAGACCCTTGGAGCATGGGAAAAGTGTGCTCTAAGATTCCTTAAATAATTAAGAAAAACTAATTACGGAAACCAACGGCCCCAAGGGGGCCAGCTTCCTTATAAGAGACTCAGTGTTGCGATCCAGAGGAAAAATGTCTGCAGAATTCTAGGCACACGGATGAAGTATTTGAGCTGTAGGCACCGAGATGTCATGCATGTATGAACTTCTACACTGCCTCCCTTCACTTTTGGGTCACGTGTTCCATCATTTTGTTTACTGTCTTTTCCTCTAGCTCGCTTACTCATGTAGGAATTGCTCATATTTGTGTAGTCCCCTTTTCGGAAGTCTGGCTTCTCCCGTCCTTCTCGTGCTGCTTCACTCTCTAATGTTAACTCTACTATGCATTCTAAACTCAAGGTTACACGGTCACTAGCACGTAGGGGCTTTTTGTGAGTGATATCTTCTATGTCTGAACTGCCCAAGACTAATACGACATCTAGCCTTGCTAGTTCATCATCATCTCTCTCTTTTGGTTGTGTCTTTAACATTTTAGTATATCAAATTTTCTAGCACTGCCTCGAGCATCTTAGCTCTCCACGTCTCTGGTCCTCCATGTGGCTCCAGATTCTCCCAGTCAGTCTCTTAATGGCTGAAATTTCCTAGGATGAGTAATTTTGCCCTTCTCATGTGGGCCCTTCTGGCAATCTTGGATAGCATGCCTGCCTTCACTCTGTTGCTCTCATCATTTTTTTTATTATCACACTGGCCGATTCCCACCAAGGCAGGGTGGCCCGAAAAAGAAAAACTTTCACCATCATTCACTCCATCACTGTCTTGCCAGAAGGGTGCTTTACACTACAGTTTTTAAACTGCAACATTAACACCCCTCCTTCAGAGTGCAGGCACTGTACTTCCCATCTCCAGGACTCAAGTCCGGCCTGCCGGTTTCCCTGAACCCCTTCATAAATGTTAATTTGCTCACACTCCAACAGCACGTCAAGTATTAAAAACCATTTGTCTCCATTCACTCCTATCAAACACGCTCACGCATGCCTGCTGGAAGTCCAAGCCCCTCGCACACAAAACCTCCTTTACCCCCTCCCTCCAACCTTTCCTAGGCCGACCCCTACCCCGCCTTCCTTCCATAAGAACATAAGAAAGAAGGAACACTGCATCAGGCCTACTGACCCATGCAGAGCAGGTCCATGTCCCCCCCGGATTAGCCCAATGACCCACCCAGTCTGGTCACCTCCAGTCAAGGATGGAGCACTGCACCAGACCTAGCAGCACAAGCTAGTCAGGTCCAACTCACACCCACCCACACCCACTCATGTATTTATCTAACCTATTTTTAAAACTACACAACGTTTTAGCCTGAATAACTGTACTCGGGAGTTTGTTACACTCATCCACAACTCTATTACCAAACCAGTGCTTTCCTATATCCTTCCTGAATCTGAATTTTTCCAACTTGAAACCATTGCTGCGAGTCCTGTCTTGGCTGGAAATTTTCAGCACGCTATTTACATCCCCTTTATTTATTCTTGTTTTCCATTTATACACCTCGATCATATCCCCCCTAATTTTACGCCTTTCGAGAGAGTGCAGATTCAGGGCCCTCAGTCTATAATCATAGGGAAGATTTCTGACACACGGGATCATCTTTGTCATCCTCCTCTGTACGCTTTCCAGAGCATATATATCCATTCTGTAATACGGTGACCAGAATTGAGCAGCATAGTCTAAATGAGGCCTAACCAAGGATATATAGAGTTGAAGAACAACCTGAGGACTTCTATTATTTACTCTTCTAGATATGAAGCCAAGAATTCTGTTAGCTTTATTGCGAACACTAATGCACTGTTGTCTTGGTTTTAAATTACTGCTAACCAGAACTCCTAAATCCTTTTCGCAATCAGTAGTATTAAGATCTACATTATTTAGTTTACATGTGGCATGGTTATTTAACTGTCCAACATTTAGAACTTTGCATTTGTCAATATTAAACTACATCTGCCACTTCTCCGACCATTGCATTAGTCTATTCAAATCATCCTGGAGTGCTCTAGTGTCCTCATTAGAATGAACTGGACGGCCTATTTTGGTGTCATCAGCAAATTTGCTTATGTCACTACTCATTCCCTCATCTATGTCGTTCATGTAAATTGTGAACAACAACGGGCCCAACACTGACCCCTGAGGAACACCGCTTGTGACGTGCCCCCATTCTGATTTCTCCCCATTTATGCAAACTCTCTGCTGTCTATTAGTCAGCCATGCCTCTACCCAGGAAAAAATTTCTCCTATTCCGTGGGCCTTAAGTTTCCTCAATAGCCTCTGGTGTGGAACTCTATCGAATGCCTTACTGAAGTCCATATACACAATATCATATTCATTACCATGATCTACCTCCTCAAACACCTTAGTGAAAAAAAGTTAGTAAATTCGTGAGACAGGAACGCCCCTTTGTAAAACCGTGTTGAGATTCATTAATCAATCTGTGCCTGTCAAGATGACTACGAATTGCTTCGGCAATTATTGATTCCATAAATTTTCCCACTATGGAGGTAAGGCTTATTGGTCTATAGTTCGAAGCCAAGGACCTGTCACCTGCCTTGTAAATAGGTATTACATTTGCCATTTTCCACTTATCAGAGACTATGCCAGTTTGTAGTGATATGTTAAAAAAATTAGCCAAAGGTATGCTAAGTTCCTCTTTACATTCCTTTAACACCCTTGCAAACAGTTCATCAGGGCCTGGGGATTTGTTAGGTTTTAGTTTCTCTATTTGTCTGATGGCCATGTCACTAGTTACTGCAATCGTACATAGTTTATTATCATCTTGTTCTACGTAATCTATTATTTCAGGAATATCGCTAGTATTTTCCTGGGTGAAAACTGAGAGGAAGTAGGCATTGAGGATTTCACACATATCCTTATGACTGTCAGTGATCTGACCAGAGTTACTCTTAAGTGGGACAATCTTGTCCCTAATCCTACTTCTGTATACCTGAAAGAACCCTTTTGGGTTAGCCTTTGAATCCCTTGCGACTTAGCCTCATAATCCCTTTTGCTTTTCTTATTCCTTTTTTATTTCTCTCTTTAACTGAATATATTGATTTCTTAACTGCCCATCCCCTCTTTTGATACGCCTATATATGCCTATCTTTTCACCAACGAGATGTTTTAATCTATTGTTCATCCATTTGGGATCATTTTTGTTAGATCTAATTTCCCTACTAGGAACAAAAGTTGTCTGGGCAGTTAGAACTATGCTCTGAAAAACGTCATATTGGCAACCAAGATCACCTACCTGACCCATGGTCAAGACTTCCCAATTTAGCCCACCCAGGTAATTTTTCAGTCCCATGAAGTCGGCCAAGCGAAAATCTGGGACAGAGATTTGATTGCAGTTATCTGGGTAATTCCATGATATATTGAAACTAAGTGATTTGTGGTCACTTTTCCCAAGCTCATCATTAACCTCAAGATTATTAATTAGTGAATCTTTGTTGGCAAGAACCAAGTCAAGCAGAATGTTTTCTCTAGATGGTTCTGTCACAACCTGTTCTAAAAAGCAATCCTGAACCATATCAAGAAAGTCACTAGACTCAAGATTTCCTGTCATATTGTTCCAATCAATTTGTCTAAAGTTAAAATCTCCCATTATCACAACATTTTCATATCTAGATGCCTTATGAATTTCGTCCCATAACAGCTTACTGCACTCCCTATCAAGGTTTGGGGGCCTATAAATCACACCCAAAATTAATTTGTCACGTCCCTCGAGAAACTGTAGCCTAACCGATTCTGTGTTCGATGTTTCTAATCTTATATCATGTCTAAGACAACAATTTAAATTTTCTCTGACATACATCGCCACACCACCACCCTTCCTGTTGACCCTATCAGTGTGGAATAGTTTATAACCTTGTATGTTTCATTCAGAAGGCATTTCTCTATCTTTCAGGTTGAACCAGGTCTTGGTCTACTGCTGTTTGGCGGTGGGTTGTACATGACTGTTATCATCATTTTTGGGCCCCCAGTATGCAGTGCTCCTACTATGTTGTTATCTGCTACCCCCTGACTAGTTCTCCAATTTTCTGAAAATTCCATTGGTTTCTGATGAGTAGTGTAACTCTTCCTTCCCCTCTGGCCCCTCGTCTTTCCTTAGAATCTGATAAGCAGATGGGAAAGATCACATCTGTTATCACTTCTGTGAGCTTTGACTCTGTGATTGCTATGGTATCTGGGTATGCCTCAGTGATTCTATCCTGCCACTCCTCACTCTGATTTGTAATTCTATCTGCGTTGGTGTACCACACCTTCGGCTTCCTTTCAAGAACTGTATTCTGGGGCTGGGAGGGGTTGACTCTGGCTGTGGGTGTGGTAGGCAGGCCTGGATATTATGAAAGTCAGCTGGTTTGGCAGGGGGTTTGCGGGGGTTGGGACTGTGGATGTGGGGTGCAGCTTAGCTCCTGTTATTGTGTTTGATTGGTGTGGGGTGATAGGTGTTTGATGGCTCCTCTGAGTGGGTCTGTGTGCAGTTTTGTTTGCTGTTTCCTTCGAAGATTTGCTCCCCTATCTGCCAGTGCTTGCCCTGCCTCCTTTCCTGCCTCTGTCACCTTCTTACGGGGCCCCGTTGCCTGGTGGCTAAAGCCTCTCGCTTCACACAGTGAATCTGGGTTCAATTTCCAACGAGGGTAGAAGCATGTGGGTCACATCCTGGGGCAAAACAGACCTAATTTGCCCGAAATGCTCTGCATTACAAGCGGCTTTCTATATAGTAGTATGTCACTGATGTCAGCTAGGCTTGTATACCTTGTACATGTACTTGTAGTAAATAAAGATATTATTATTATTTCTCTTTCCGTTGTTTCATTTCTCATGTTCTGTTGCATTCGAGGTACACTCGCTGATATATCTGGGAACTCTTTAACAGTGGTGTCCGCTGCAGGATTTTGTTTTGTGTCACTTTGTGTGCGTGTGTGTGTGTGTGTATGTGTGTGTGTGTGTGTGTGTACTCACCTAATTGTACTCACCTAATTGTGGTTGCAGGGGTCGAGACTCAGCTCCTGCCCCGCCTCTCCACTGATCGCTACTGGATCCTCTCCTCCTTCTTCCTGACTTTTCAAACCTCTTCTTAAAACATTTGGGTTCCTGCCTCCACTACTTCACTTGCTAGGCATCCACTTGCTGACAACTCTATGACTGAAGAAATCCCCCAACGCCCTGTGCTCGTCTGAGTCTTTCAGCTTCCATTGTGACCCCTTGTCCCCGTGTCCCCTCTCTGAACATTCCTATCTCTTCCACCTGTCTATTCCCCGCAGTATCTGTATGTCGTTATCATGTCTCCCCTCCCCTTCTGTCACCAGTGCGTCGTCCATTTCCCTTAACCTTTCCTCGTACGACATTCCCTTGAGCTCGGGGACTAGCCTTGTTGCAACCCTTTGACTTTCTCTAACTTCTTGACGCTTGTCGGGGTTGGGTTCCAGACGGGCTGCATATCCAGTATGGGCCTAACATACACATGTACAGTGCCCTTGAACGATTCCTTATTAGGTATGGGAACGTTTTTCTCAGGTTTGCCAGGCGCCCGTATCTGCAGCATTTTTTTGGGTGGATGTGTGCCTCGGTGACGTGCTCGGTGTTATGGTCACCCCAAAGGGTTTCGGGTGTGTGTGTGTGTGGTGTGTGTACTCACCTATTTGTACTCACCTATTTGTGGTTGCAGGTCGAGTCCTAGCTCCTGGCCCGCCTCTTCACCGGTTGTATTTTGAGGCTTCTCCCCGCTCCATGAGCTTTATCAAACCTCGCTTAAAATGGGTATGGTTCCGCCTCCACTACGTCATTTTTTAGGCTATTCCACTGCCTTACAACTCTATTGACTGAAGAAAACTTTCCTACTACTCTCTGACTCATTTGTGTCTTCAACTCCATTGTGGCCTTTTGTTTCCTGTGTCCCTCCTGGAACACCCTTGTCCTTTGTCCACCTTGTCTATTCCACGCAGTATTTTAATGTCGTTTAAATGTCTCCCTGACCCTCCTGTCCTCCAGTTCGTCAGGCCGATTTCCCTTAATCTTTCTTCATGGGAAACATTCCCCTTAGCTGGGGAAACTACCTTTTTGCAAACCTTTGTACTTTCTCTAGTTTCTTGACGTGTTTTTATCAAGTCGGGTTCCAAACAGGTCTGCATACTCCAGTATGGGCTGACATACACGGTGTACATTTGGTCTTGAATGATTCCTTACTAAGGTGTCGAATGCTGTTCTCAGGTTTGCCGGCGCCCATATGCTGCAGCATTTATCTGATTGATGTTGCTTCCGGAGACATGCTCGTGAACCCCCCCAAATCTTCTCCTTGAGTAGGTTTCAGTTTTTGGGCCACCTAGCCTATACTCTGTCTGTGGTCTCTGTGCCCTTTCCCCTATCTTCAGACTTTGCTTTTGGGCAGGATTAAATTCGAGAAGCCATTTGCTGGACCAGTGTCCATCTGTCCAGTCTCTTTAAAGCCCTGCCTGCCCTCATCAGATTAATTCTCCTCAATTAACTTCACATCATCTGCAACGGGACACTTCTGAGTCAAACCCTCGTCATGTCCTTCCCCTTATACCAAAATAGACTGGTCCAGGACCGACCCCTGGGGGGACCCCCGTTCCAGTGCCCAGTGATACATCTTTACGTACCATCCCGTTGTTGCCTCCCTTCAGGTATTCTCGATCCATTGCAGTGCCCTTCCTGTTATATGCGCCTGATGCTCTACTTCTGCACAAAATCTTTTGTGAGGAACGGGTGTCAAAGGCCTTCTTGCATCCAAGAAATGCAATCAACCCACCCCCTCTCCTTGTGTGTGTGTGTGTGTGTGTGTTGTGTGTGTGTGTGTGGTGTGTGTGTGTGTGTGTGTGTGTGTGTGTGTTGTTTTGTGTTCCTTTTGTGTCTGTGTGTGTCTATTAAAGGTAAATGATTGAAAAAGAAAATATAAAAAAATAATTCCGATTAACTGGTAAGAAGTATAATTTGCTTCTAATATTCACTTGAAATTAACCTTAATCATTATGATTATTAATATATGCAATAAGACACAAGTACGGAAACATATATGAGTGACACTGGATATGAAGACAAGTAGTAAAGAAGAACTCTTAACTATATATTTGAAGACTTCTCTGAGAGGCAATTACCACAACATCATTATTATTATTATTATTATAATCAAGGGGAAAGCGCTAAACCCGGAGGATTATACAGCGCCTGGGGGGGGATGTGGAAGGCATTCAGGCTTAATTCGGGGAACTGGAGCACAGATCCAATTCCCTAAATCAAGAGCCCCTCACCAACATCAAGGAACCTTCCTTGAGGGGACCACAACATCAGTACTGGGAAATGACATTTTGGTTTCCATTATTTCCTCTTCAGTTACTGGCAATGTGAAGTTGCAAATAAGACGACACATTATTACTGAAATACACGTTGCCTGTGTTTCTTTATATATTGCAGTTTGTGGCTGAAAATGAAGCGAGAATTTATGTTTTCATTAATCAGAACCTACCTGGCGGCGATTATCGGCCTCCATGAAGGGTGTGGGGGTGAGAATGAGAGACTGAAGGTTGTCATCGGTGGCAGGTGACCAGGTGAACCCGAGGGAGTCATCAGGGGTCGGGTTCCTGTAAGAGAACCCACCAGAGGCGGTCATGTGACTAAGTACTGAGTTTCAGTAGTATTTGTTATGTTAATTGGAGGAAAGTGACCGAGGTTACGATGATAGAGGAGGAAGGCGAAGGAGGAGGCAGAGCCAGTAATAAAAGGAGTAGTGGTTTAAGGGAAGAGGAAGTGTTGAAGTTGGTGTTGTAAGGAGTGTCTAAGGCGGTGGTGGAAAGAGCAGTTTTGGAAAAATGGACGACATTGTATCACTGTGTCAACGACCAGAATTGAAGACAACTTTGATACGGTAATTAGAAAATGCATAAATATGAGGTTGAAATATTCTGGATTTGGTAAGAAAACCTCTTGCTCGAAGCAGCTATGATGGAAGAAATAATATTTTTTGTATTAAATGAACTAAACACAATGATTAAAACCAAAATTTGGTTCATAAACAGCCATTTCATAGAGAGAAATATAAAGCAGTTTGGATCCTGGTAAAAACCTAGGTAATAGAAACCGACAAATTGGTTTAAATAACACAGGAACAAACACTAGGATGTATTTATTAGAAAACGTTTCGGTCCTGGGACGTTGAAGCGATCAAGGCTCCAGGACCAAAACGTTTTCTAATAAATATGTCCTAGTGTTTGCTTATGTGTCTTTCAATGCCAGTTTGGATCCTAAAATATAAAATGTGCTGAAATGATAATAGTTAATCTGATTTTTTGCGATTATTTTTATAATAATCAGGATCTGATCAACCAGGCTATTAGTGCTGGTCGCACGCAGTCCAACGTACGAACCACAGCCCGGCTGATCGGGCACTGACTTAAGGTATCTGTCAAGCCAGGGGTCTATTGGGAATTTTCCTTATGTATGGTGGGAGGCTCTTGAACAGTCTTGGGCCCCTGACACTTAGTGTTCTCTTATTGTACTCATGGCGCCCCTACTTATCATTCGGGGTATGTTGCACTGTCTACCTAGTCTTTCAATTTCGTAGGGAGTGATTTCTGCGTGCAGATTTGGGACCAGTTCATCTAGGATTTTCCAGATGTAGATTATGATGCATCTCGCCTGCGCTCCAGGGTGTACAGGCCAAGATACTCCAAAAGTTTCCAGTAATTAAGGTGGTTGACTGAACTTATATATTCAGTTAAGGTTCTCTGTAAATTCTCGAGTTCTGCAACTTCAACTGCCTTGAATGGCGCTGTTAATGTACAGAAGCCTTCCAGCCTACAGAGAAGTGATTTAAAAAGCATCATCACTGGTATGGCATCCCTTGTTTTGAAAGTTCTCATTATCCATCCCATCATTTTCCTCGCAGATGTGATAGTGCCACTGCTGTTATCCCTGAAGATGAAATCCTGTAGAATGCCCAAGTATTTTACAGCATTTTTCTCGCTCTATTATGTGGTTTGAGTTTGCAGTATACTTCGATCTAATAATTGTTTCCCAAAGTTTTTCATAACGGTGTAATTAAAATTTGTCCTCAATGAACATCATATTGTTTTCCGTTGTCCAATGGAAAACTTGGTTTATACCCACTTGATTCTCTCATGCAGATTCTAGTATAGTCAGTAAAAAAAGACACATTGATATCAGATAGAGATGTTAGTTATATGTGGATGAGCAACAGGATAGGTGCAAGTACTGTGCCTTGTGGAACAGAGCTTTTCACTGTGGCAGACTCTGATTTAACTTTGTTTATCAATACTCTGTGTTCTCTTGGTTAGGAAGTTCTCATTTTTAAACCTTTAATTAATAATGTGAGAAATCATCAAAGCACTTGGAATTTCAGTATTTTTTCACTGCGGCTATTTTGCTCTTATATATATATACATATATATTGTTTCAGACTATGGAACAATACTTTTCTCCAGACTGAGGGACTGACCACCTCAAAACTTCAAGGGTGATGGACTGATTACATCGTCTTCAAGTATATTCTGCTTCTATCAACTTTTCTGTACTCGAGTGAAGAAGCCTACTGTGTAGGCGAAACGTTTCGGAATACAGTTGCCTAAATGTTGCCTATGTGTCTTAACTACCAATCCTGAACCGTATCAAGAAAGTCACTAGACTCAAGATTTCCTGTCATATTGTTCCAATCAATTTGTCTAAAGTTAAAATCTCCCATTATCACAACATTTTCATATCTAGATGCCTTATGAATTTCGTCCCATAACAGCTTACTGCCCTCCCTATCAAGGTTAGGGGGCCTATAAATCACACTCAAAATTAATTTGTCACGTCCCTCGAGCAACTGTAGCCAAACCGATTCTGTGTTCATTGTTTCTAATCTTATATCATGTCTAAGACAACAATTTAAATTTTCTCTGACATACATCGCCACACCACCACCCTTCCTGTTGACCCTGTCAGTGTGGAATAGTTTATAACCCTGTATGTTGCATTCAGAAGGCATTTCTTTATCTTTCAGGTTGAACCAGGTCTCTGTTATACCAATAATATCTATATTACCTACACTTGCAAGTAATCTTAGCTCATCTATCTTATTTCTTAGACTCCTACTATTTATATAGTAAACCTTAAGGGAGCTAGTCACTCGTTGCCCTCTACTATCTCTCTTTGATTGTTGATCAATTGATATGCCATTACTAGCAACTTTATTTTGAATATTGTCTTTTAAACATATCCCTGAGGTATCCTGGTAATAACTGCTGTTTTTAACCCTAATGCTGCAGCCTGATTGTTTCCCACAAACACCCATACCTCTATAATCTAGAAGTAAATGCTAGAATTTTGGGGAAAGGGGTGGGATTAAATTAAATACAAAAAGGGAGTTGACACAGTTACTTTTTGCTGATGGTACTGCATTTTCGGGAGATTCTAAAGAGAAGCTACAGAGATTAGTAGATGAGTTTGGGAGAGTGTGTAAAGGATGAAAGTTGAAAGCAAACATAGATAAGAGTGAGGTGATGAGGGTATTAAACGAATTAGGTAAAGAAAAATTTGATATCACATTGATGGGAGGGAGTATGGAAGACGTGAATGTGTTCAGATATTTGAGAGTTGACCTGTCAGTGAATGGGTTTATGAAGGATGAGGTAAACCATAGAATTGATGAAGGAGAAAAGGTAGGTGGTCCATAGAAGCAAAGAAGGGAATGGATGAGAGTATAGTGGTTCCAACACTCTTAAATGGGTGTAAAGCATCAGTTTTAAATGCTCCACCGGGAAGGAAGCTGGAGTCAGTGGAGATGTCGTGTCTAAGGGGAATCTGTGGTGTAAATATCATGCAGTGAATTCGTAGTGTGGGAATTGGGAGGTGTGGAGTTTCTAAAATTATTAGTCAGTGGGCTGAAGAGAGGTTATTGATGTGATTTGGCTAATTAGAGAGGATGGAGCAAAATAGGATGACTTGGAGGGTGTATAAATCTGTAGTGGTGGGGAGGAGTGGTAAGGGTCGTCCTTGGAAGGAATGGAGGGAGGGGGTAAAAGAAACTTTGTTTGCAAGGGGCTTGTACATACAACAAGCATATGTGAGTGTGATCGGAATTACGAGGGAAAAAAGTGGGTGGTGCATTGCGGCATCTGTGGAGACAAAGAACAATAGAGGCTGAAAGAGGAATGTGTCAGAGCATAGTGGTGTCAGAACTGTTTTATGGGTTTGACCGTAACAGCTCGTAGGATATAATCATTTTTTTCATGTAAGCAGCAGAGTGTACTAACATTTCAGTGTATCGCTTATCTCCAGGACAGTTAAGGCAGTTTGCTGGGTCTTAGATGATGGTCTGAAATACACACGAGACTTAGTCTCAGGAAGCCTGGTGTGAAATTAATATTAATTTTTATCAAGTGTGGTCTTGGAGATTTTTTTGTCTTACATATGTTTGTTTATGAGCATGGCGTTTTAAAGTGAAAGTTGATTAATTTTTATAAGATGCCCACCACCTTTTATATCAAACATTGCTTTTATTCATAATTATATAATTATTATTGTGTGAAATTAGTGATATGTTATTAACTGGAAGCCACTAGGAATATGCCATTGAGGTTATCTATCATAATTAAACTCATCGACATGTAGAGACTTGTGTCATACCTAGATGAGGTAATTTCATGAGATGTTATTGAAATTAACTTATATCATTTCTTTCTTGATGGACATACATAAATTGCTGAGATAACTCCTTTCGTAAATATCAAACTCCAAAGTTTTACTTTTTTATCTTCAATCGGGCAGACCGCAAAATATGTGGGTCTGAGCATGTGATTTTCTGCGTGTGTCATCCTACTCGTGCCGCGCATCTAGATTCCCATTCCTTATTTCTGACCAGTCACAAGCCTTCCCTGAGTCGCTTCAGCTAAGTGGTGCTGTCCTGTTCTCGCTTCCCATTGGTTGAGAGACCAAGATGTAAACACTTCTGGCTTGGCGTCGCCGAGAGTAACATTTTTTTCATCTAGTGAGACTCAAATACCCTTGGATTTTATCCTCTACAATGTCGGTAAGTACTGTTTGTTATGTCTAGTGCGGAAATGAATAGTTTGGGCATATTTTGATATATATATAAAGGCCGTGTGAAGCATAATATGAGTGTACCATGCAAATGAAAATAGTGCAACAAAAGAGACCTCAAAAAATTTTGTTGTGCCCTTTTAGGGGCAGTTTTCAATTTCAGTAAATAAATATTTATAAAAAATATTTCTATTGCTTATATGAATTTTTTATTGTCCTTTCACATCAATGAGAAATTGTTTTATGGTGAGCCCTCCAACACCTAGTCAAAATGTCTGTGTTTTGGAGGGAAGTGACTCAGAACTGGAGGTAGATGACCCAGAATTGCTTGCTTGAAATTGGTGATGAATACCTGCCACTGGATGCAAGTCAAGTGATGATGAGGAAGAAACTCCAGCCAAAAAGTGAAAAGTAGTCAAGAAAAAGAAAGGTATTAGGATCGAGATGCCTGTTGAACAAGAACAATTATACCACATCGTCATTTTATTGCTTCATATGCAAAGTAAATCTATGCATAAAGAAGGATGAAAATTGCTTCATACCCTTCCATTCTAGCAATTAGTAATATACAATGACTGTTCTTTCTCAGGGAATTCAGGAGAATGGGACTTGAAAATTTTATCCCTTTGCAATGTGTCAATGTAGCAATTTGGTTTCTTTTTATATTTTTCTAATACCTAAAAAAGGTTTGGATACAAGTTCCATTTATGTTTTTTATATTGTCTGTTTGTTTAATAAATTAAAAAAATAGTTATTTTCTGTTTTATTAACCTTTGCAAGTTTGCAACATCCAAATTTATACTCCCTTAAACGGGCAGCCCATAATAAATTAGGGTTTCACTGACTAGCAATTGCTTGAAAACTAACCATCAAATTTCCATTTATATGGGCTCATTGACCTTATATTGAGTTACTCTATCCACTATAGGTAGTTCAGTTCGAATTTCTAAATTTATGGCCATTTGCCCCATGAAGGATAAATGCATCATTTCTATTCCACTTTCTGATCATCTTACATTGTTGAAATTATTTATAGAAATTTGCTGACTGAAACTTAGCCGAGGTTAACAAAAGAAATTTCATCCACTGTCTGATAATAAACTATTGTCTAATTATGAAAATAAATAGGAAAACTCTTTTTCAGTGTCACCAGCCAGGTAGTTACAAGGTTAGATGGGAAACAACGTTTCAGTTATTTTGCGATGTCGCGATATTAGCAGAATAAGAATGAAATAAAGGTGCCCTGTTAAAAGAAATTGAGAAAAAACAACCACCTTCTGCATTACCCTGTAGCAGCAAAGTTGGTCCAAAGTGTGATGAGGATGTCCCTGAGGGCGAGGTCATCTTGACGACTGAGGTCGTAAGGACGCTGGCTAGGCAGGAAGGGTGGCTGCAGGAGGGGTCCACCACGGAACAAGAGATATAAGTCGTCGCCGTGAGGCACCACTGAGGAACAACACCATGCATAAATTTCCACAACCATCAGTTGGAAGTGAGTTTATGCTAATGATAACTGGTTTATAAGCAAAGAAAACATCATGCTTATGAATCGCCTTACCAAATTCGGCATAAAATTACTAAACGGGTTAAGTAACTTAATAAAACTGAATAGATAAATGCAACTAATGTGATATTTTATAGTGGCAACGTTTCGCTCTCCAGGAGATTTATCAAGCGAAACGTTGCCGCAATAAAATGTCACATTAATTGCACTTGTGTCCTTTTACCTAATATAGTGTGGATAAATAAAGTCTAAAGAAACATATGATGTATTGTAAAGTCGCAGATATCCACCTATAGCAAGCAGTGTTTTGCTTTGCTAGCTGCAGTTTTATATATAGTTATAACTTTTGTTACCAGCAGTTCTCTGCCCTATCCTTGGCCTGAGTAACACTCATTCTTTCTGTTTGAAGTGTCAGGGCCGACCTTCAGCCGATTGGACCGATTGCTCCCCATTGGGCCCCGCGCCTGAGGGGGCCCCGCGCTAGAGTGTAATCTTCTCTCGGCTTGTCAAGTACACACAACAACACGAAGTAAAAAAAGAGGAGCTTTAGATATATGTTAGCGAATTTCCCCTAAAGCGGTGACAATTTTACCCGACATTTGATTAAAAGCAAGAAAAATAACTTTTTCCCAATAAAAGGCAATAATAATATGACTCATTTATAGTTTATGAATGTTAAGTGATTTTTAGAAGTCCAAAAAAGATAATTTGTTTCCAACAGTTAACTTAAATTCTGATTTTTTCTGAAATTAATATTTTTAATAAATCATTTCACAGTCACTAAAGCAAGTGGTATTGTAACTATGTACTTTTCAGACGTGATGTACAAATTTTGTTTGTTACTTGTAAGTTTACATGTATGCAATTTTATATTAAAATGTAGCTTGCATCTGTTTGGTCCATTATGCATGCATTTTTAAGTGCACAGTTTGATTGCTTCCATCCATGGAGCCCACCAAAACTGTTCCCAAATGGGCTCTGCACCTCCTAAGGACCAACTCTGTCAGTTGTCCATAATTCATTACATTAATCAGTAATAGTTTTGGAAGGAAAAACTGTTACAAAGATTACAGTCGCTACCTTTTCGAACTCTACTTGACACAACATAAATGAAGCTAAATAGTAACAGCTGCATCAGCCCGGTGGCCTGGTGGCTAAAGCTCCCGCTTCACACACGGAAGGCTCGGGTTCGATTCGCGGTCGAAACATTTCGACACGCTCCTTACACCTGTGTCCTGTTCAACCTACACAAATAGGTACCTAGGGTGTAAGTCATTGGATGTGGGTCGCATCCGGGGACAAGATTAAGACCCAATGAATAAGTTAACAGTCCTCGATGACGCACTGACTTTCTTGGGCTATCCTGGGGGCTAACCTCCGGGGTTAAAATCGAACGAAATTACTATCTTATCTTATACAGCTACTACAGCAGTTCGCAACTGATATCTACAAGAGCTATCAAGACGCACATGTTTACAACGGCTACTACGGACTACTAACGGTAAGCACTGAAGTATCAACGGCTTCAACAAAGGCTGTCAATAGGTACTACAGGAGCACCTAAAGGATGGGTTAGCAATGGTACTACAGAAGTTTAGTAACAATACTACAAATTAGCAGTGGTTATAAGAGCTGCATATCTGATAGTCCTTGCTTAGCACATTACGCTTTCGACTTCTTGAGCAAATGCCATCGGCTTCCGCTTATAAACTTAAGGATGGCCGAATCGATACCATAGTCGTGGTGAAAGCTCAGGTGAGTTTAGTTCATACTTAGGTCTTGCGTAGCCTGGGTTTCGCTGTGTTGCAATGAGTCCATCATGACAAATCTTGAAGATGCCGTCACTCATCAGTGGAGAAAATAAAAGCGTTTAATTACACATCTTCATCAGCTGATTTTGCTGTTGTTGAAAGAAGTCTATTTTCTATTACACACTTGCCGATTCCCACCAAGCAGGTGGCCGAAAAAGAAAAACTTTCACCATCATTCACTCCATCACTGTCTTGCCAGAAGGGTGCTTTACATTACAGTTTTTAAACTGCAACATTAACACCCCTCCTTCAGAGTGCAGGCACTGTACTTCCATCTCCAGGACTCAAGACCGGCCTGCCGGTTTCCCTGAATCCCTTCATAAATGTTACTTTGCTCACACTCCAACAGCACGTCAAGTATTAAAAACCATTTGTCTCCATTCACTCCTATCAAACACGCTCACACATGCCTGCTGGAAGTCCAAGCCCCTCTCACACAAAACCTCCTTTACCCCCTCCCTCCAACCTTTCCTAGGCCGACCCCTACCCCGCCTTCCTTCCACTAAAGACTGATACACTCTTGAAGTCATTCTGTTTCGCTCCATTCTCTCTACTGTCCGAACCACCTCAACAACCCTTCCTCAGCCCTCTGGACAACAGTTTTGGTAATCCTGCACCTCCTCCTAACTTCCAAACTACGAATTCTCTGCATTATATACACACCACACATTGCCCTCAGACATGACATCTCCACTGCCTCCAGCCTTCTCCTCGCTGCAACATTCATCACCCATGCTTCACACCCATATAAGAGCGTTGGTAAAACTATACTCTCATACATTCCCCTCTTTGCCTCCAAGGACAAAGTTCTTTGTCTCCACAGACTCCTAAGTGCACCGCTCACCCTATGAAAAAGAGTCTATGAACATAAATTAAGACAGCTGCTCTCACCTCAATGGTATTATCTCTTCGTGGGAGATCGAACTTCACTTGGCCAAGGTAATGGTGATATAACTTGAGGGCGATGCCCTCGGGGTCTTCCGTGTCATCAGTAGTCTGGACACTGGCTGGCCCCGTCACTGGAAAGTTAGTCTCCAGGGAGCTTCGAAGGCTATCTTGTAGGTACAGCGCTGCAGGAGTCAAGTCCATAATTATATAAATCATGTATGGTAAATAATACAGAATGTAAACCACATTATAAATATATGAATTTGAAGTGTTTTTTCCTGGTCGTAATTCAAATGAAAACTAAATATTAATAGGAAAATTGATAGCTAATCATGATGAAGATAGATAACTGTTAAATTTTTGAATGAAAGTGTTCCACGGCATCGTGTTCTGGTTTGACAAGCGAATACCCGTCAGTCTCAGACTTCGGCTTCGGTGACTATTGTGAGTAAGAGTCAGAGTGTGGGCAGGGTTTCCCTGAATAGATGTTTTGAAAAATATTCACCGTATTTAAGGATTGATGAGCATCGAGCTGAGACAGACAAGTCAGTCAGTAGCGCAAGGTGTTAGGCTGGAAGAGGCAAGACGTAGAATGGAGATGCAATTGCCAACGGTAATGCGTACAACTAATGGTCAGTGTTTAGTGATCAATAGTGACTGTGAAGTGATATGGTGGAACAGTAATTTGTTGTGATTCACGGTGCTTTTTGAAGTAATACAGTAAAAAAAAGAAATGTAATGTGATCAAGAGAGCGCCATGAAATGTAGATACGAGACTTACTGCGATCAACAGAGCTCAGTGAAGTGATATAGAAGAACACTGATAAACAGTGGTCAACAGCGATATGATGGAACAGTAATATATGGTGACCAACAGTGCAGTGAAGTGTCATAACAGTTATATTAAGGGAGCAGAAAAATTATGCATATTGAAGTAGAAGATAAGCGAAGTTCACAACGAATGTAATTGTACTGTTTAAAGTGGCTAAGTGTTTTGAGATGTGTTTTGTAATTACATTTACAGTCCTTGTTTACTAATTGTACTGTGTATTGTTTAACTAATAACCCTACAGATAGACGACGTATTTTAATAAATGGTTTAAAGCTGCTTCCAAAACGAACCCCGCCATATTATATTATGTATAAAATAAAGTATTTTTTCTTCATTTTCTTCCTCCAAGTTTCCGTTTTTCTTTTGCTCTAAACTTATACATCCAATCGGCTTCAAATTTTCAGTAGGGTAACACGATCAGAGTTTTGGAACGACTGGCATGTGTAGGCGCCCTCTGACCAAAATTGTTGTACCGATTCCCAGCATCCTGGAATGGCTCCAGTAATTTCCAAAACCCTCAGTGGCGTAGCTTCAAACATTCATAAAACATGTGCTTCTTAATCTGATGACAGTGGAGAGTGAAATTCAGGTGTGTAGGTACAAATTTGACCACTGTATCTGTAAAATCACGTGAAGTTTTTGTCTTAAATCAAGTTAAATAAATTTAAGTTTACATGTTTTGGGAACCCTCCCTAATCATCAATATTTAATGGCTGATGCAACATACGGACAGGATAGTAATTGTTTAGTTTGGTCTGTGTTACCGGCAAATTTTGTCAATATGGCAAAAATAGTTAAACCAAATTTAAAATTAGTTGGCACCCGTGCCATAAATGGGGTATGCCTCTTTTGCTTGGCCTCAAATTTCATCATCTGTGTGGGTTGAAGCTTAAAATGGTATACAAGACGGGGTAACGACAGTTGTTAGGTAAGACACATATGCAACAGTATAGGTATCATTAGTTCGAGAAAGATACCTAAACTGTTTGCATATGTGTCCTTACCTAACAACACTGTTGTGGGTTCTTGAACGCATGTATACAGTGTTATAAATGTCTGGCGTAAGACGAAAATGTGCCAAACTTTAACTGAATCAATAGTAATGGATATCCAAAATTCAAATAAATAATACATTCTTATGCGGGCAACAAAACTTACTGATGACGCAATTCTATATGCAGGATGATGCCCTATAAGTTTAAGTGTAAGTGGTGCCAATTTGAAATTGTAACCCCCTTATTAAGGAAAGGAGGTTCCATGACGCTGGTGGATGGTCTCTATGATTTAGGGAATTGGATCTGTGCTCCATATTCCCTGAATTGAGCCTGAATAACCCATCCGTCCCCCCACAGACGCTGAAATAATCCATACGAATTTACGCTTCCCCCATGAATATAATAATAAAGAAATTGTCCTGAAATTATTAAAAAAAATTGAGTTGTTGGAATCAGATCA